GCCAGAATCCAACAGTTACGGCTCGGCAGGTGCCCAATCGTTGATAGACTACTCCGTTGCCCATCCAGTTTTAGCAGAAGCAGCGCCGTGCCAGGTATGGGAGACCCCCCTTACTCACGAGAACCAACCTGTCACGCTGACCCTACGTGGGAACGTGCATTCTGACATGGTCTCTGTATTCCGTCGCCCTCCGTATGTACTTGTTCAGAGGCCCGTTGGACGCGCACCTTGCCCTCCATTTTGGGATGATGTCCCCGGCCATGACCAGGTGGACACGGTGTCAGAATTTGGGCGTCTGGCTCCTCCTGGTTGGAAACGCCTGCCAAAGAATTGATTGGGTTTGCCAACTACCCGACCCGCAGCCCTATGATAATTCGGGTGGAATCCCCACTTCAGTTCAGATATCCGCCTCCTGCCCTGCCCCTGGTGGAGTTGCTACATCCTGCGAGGGGAAGTTGCGGAGGTATCTCCCGGATCGTCTTGCTACCCTCTTGCGCCCGACAGGGCAGCAGCCATGGGAGGCTTACGCTTGAGCAGTTCATGGTTTGCGTAAGGATCGGCCTTCATCGCGTCAAGGGGCCCCCCTCCAGATTGGCCATGGCGGCGTTGCTACGCGAATCGGCTCGGTTCCCTGGACCTTGGCTCTATTGGCTGGCTTCGGAGTACTTTGGCCGAGATGGCATCGGCCTTGGAGCGTGAAACCTTAGCTATGCGTTTTCAGTCTTGGACGTCCTGGCCATAAAGTCAGCGCAGCGCGGGGGATCTGCAGCGCGCAGCATGGTCGATGGGAGCTCTTGGCAGGTACCCCTGTTGGTCATTGCCAAGATTTGCCAATGCCTCCCTGTGCACGCAGCAGACATTGCATCATTGCCGCAACCGTCTCTGGTGCGCTACAGGCAGATGTGTCGCAAGTACAGAGCACGGACGGCTGTAGGACTGGACGGCATGCACCCCCGCCATCATGCCCAATGTGCTGATCCTCCCTTCCTCGCTCTGTTTGGCATATGGAGAGCTGAATTGCTGCCGGGGAGACGCCCTCCCATCTTGGCAGTCTGCATGGTTAGTCTATTACCGAAGCTTGCTGGGGCTGAGCGTACTGTTGCACTTATCACGACATGCGCATGCATGTTCACTAGATTCTTTCGTCACACACATGGTCTAACTTGGGCGCGGCAACACCCGCGCCCACACACACACACATGGTGTGCGCGCTCATTATTGCCATTAGTGCGTGTGTGTGGCGCATGCGAGTTTTGGCCGATTGCGCAATTGCACGTGCCATGTATGTATTTCCCCTCCTGCTGGGCATTATGAACGCATATGAACAGGTTCGGCACGGGCTTCTCACCGAACGCGCAGTTCAATTGAACTCCAATCCTGCGTTGCTGTGCGTGCGTTTGTCGCTCGACAGATCGTCTCGGGTTGCATGCTTGCGCCGAATCGTCGGTATTTGGGTCTCTGTTGGCATCACGCTTGTTGCTGGCTCTTTCTTTGCTGACTTCTTCATGCGCGTTATGCTAGCTCCTGGAATGGATTCAGCTTCGGCACCATGTCCGAATCTTCATGTGGGGCTGGTGGCTGATGATGTTCAGGTCCTGGGGAGTGCAAACGAGTGGGGCCGTTTCAAGCTTGCCACTGAGGACCCCCATTTCCTCGTGCACACGCTCACTTTCTCTGCCCGCTTACCACTGGCCGAGAAGAAAATCGTGCTCCTGGCCTCAGACCCGAAATTGGCCAGGTATATTGCAGTTGAAACCCCACGTCCGTCTGGCGCTGTCAAATTCTCCCCGCCGCAACCTTGGCATTGATTTTTGCAGCTTCGCAAGGGGCGTCGGAGTCGGACAGTTCCGAACGCCAGGCTAAAGACAGCCATGGCCAAGGCCCGTCGTCGATTCGCCTCAAGAAGGGAGGTGATAGGGCGGCTGGCATTGTTAATGCGAAATTACGTCCCACCATTACCCACCGCATCGATGCGTTGGTCTCAGTACTTACCAGATCCAGCAGATTAGGGCCATATACAATTCAGGGCTAGGCACAGGTAGGCGCAGATCTGCGCCGATGGACCTCTCTCAACACGGCATTACTGACCCGGCTGTGGATGCCCATGCAGAAGTAGTGCGCATGTGGGCTGTCGCTCGGTGGAACCGCGTCTTACCCGAAGGTACTATTGATGCAGTCCTCTCGTGCTCGTGACGCCGTTTCACGTGGCGCCCCTTGGACAGACCTACGCGGGCCAGGTCAGATATTGGTTGCTGCCCTACGCAGGTTTGGGCGGTCAGTTGCTACCCCAACCCAGTGGCGGAATTCTCGATGGCTGGGCATGTTTATTTCGACTACTTCGCCGCGCGGCCAGGTTTCTATAGTGACCCGCGATGCTTGCGTTCGGGCATGGAAGCACGCCTCTAAGCGTCACCCATCCTTCGGTAATTTGTCGGGCCCTCCCATTCACCCCCCCTCCGCCCCCTCCTGTCCGAGCAGACTGAAGGATGGGGCACGCTGCAACGGCGAGCACCGGGGGCTTCCCAGGCCGGCGGGAAATTTTTCAAACCCACGTGCCCCTTGTTTCAGCTGGTCCAGCTGACCTTGTTTTCCACGCCCTATATGAATGTGATGCTCTCAGTGATTTCCGCCGCTGGTTTGAACCGCCTCAGGCCCTCGCGCGTCGTCTCGGTCAGCACCGAGGCAACCCTGTCTGGGCCACAGCACTCGCGCCTGACCCGCGTTATTGTTCTCCTGTTTCTCCGCCGTTCCCCGACCCTGTCTGGGAAAGCGCCGCTGATGGTCCTCTCTTCTCGTCGCCCGCGCACGGTGACCAGTCGGAAAAGTTTGGGCCGTCACCTTTCACGCTTCGGCGTGGATGGGGCGTCTGCTCGTTTGCTCCTAGGCGCCGAAACGTCTTAGGCGAGCCGGTCGCGCGTGACTCTCATAGGTTGTACGCTGCAGCATATGGCGTTTTGCCTAGCTTCATTCAGGATGTTCCAGGGGCCGAGCTTTACGCTCTCCTGTTTTACCTCGCCCACGTTGCCCCGTCTGTCCAGTCTGAGTTTGTTGCGGGCTGCCACTGCGCGGCTGATGTTTGGGCCCTTGGCCATGAAGCCCCCGCCCGCGGCGGGGCAGCGCATTGTTCCTTATGGGCCCAAGTGCACCGCCTAGCCGCTGATGTAGGTCATCCGTCAATTCGACCCACCAGTGCGCGAGAGGGCGATCGTGGCGACCTGCACTATGCCGGTAATCGTCAGGCAGACCGATTGGCCAAGCCAGTCGCTGATTGGTTTTCCCATGACTCTGCGCGGCGAAACAGCATCAAACGTGCCGATACCCTTGTCAGACATTTAGGTTGCTACATAGGGCATTGCATTGCGTGGGTCATTCAGAACGTTCCCACGAATGTTCGGGCTGCCGATGCTGAGGGGGCCCAGGCGCCCGCGCCCCCCACCCCCCCCTCCATTTTATCGGGGTCGGTGGCTGGAGCTATGCATGGGCATTTCTGGGATCCTTCCACAGGTTGTTTTAGAGATGTCCCTTCAGTTGTCGGGGTCGGTGGCTGGAGCAATGCATGAGCATGTCTGGGATCCTTCCATAGGTCGCTTAAGATGTGTGAATTGCTGGGCTAGTTCTGCATCTAAGAGCTACCCTTCGCGTTGCCGATGCCCCTCGCCTCCTGGAGGGGGACATTGTCTTCGCCGGCTGCAGGGCATTGGTTTCCGTCGCCGCCGCGGACGTTGCTCTAGAGGCAATGTCAAGGGCTCACTTGGGAATCGCACTGGGCCCCCGCGGGCCAGGGGCGCACGGTCGCGCCGAAGGCTCATGCGCGATGAACGAGATCCACGCACCATGTGCCCAATCGGTGATGGTTGCGCGCTTGGTCGTGCTAGTGTCAGTTATGTTTTCCCCAAACCCCACGACGCATTTAATTTCCAGGCCCTGTTCGGCCCAGAATGGCCGCTGCAGCCTCTGCTGCAACCTGATGATTAGATGGAGGTTTGGCAAGGAGGGCTGGGGTATCGAGTGCGCCTATCCAACGCGATGGCCTCTTTCTTTGTTTGCGTGCTTGGATGGTTTCTCTGTCTGCTCTCTTGGGGCGACATCTTTGGTCTCTCCCGCCCACGAGACTGTCTGACTGCGAGGTGCCCTAAGCATTGAGGCGCAATGGAAGCACGCGCCCGTGCCGCTTGCGTTTGGGAAGCCCCACTCAGCTCTCATCTACCCTTCTTCCCCCCCCGCCCACGCTCGCAAAGAGTGAAAGAGCTCTGCTGCCGCCTGGGATGAGGGTTTTTTAGGCCTGCGCGAGGGGATGTCAGGCAAATCCCCTTTTCCCAGCATCACTCTGTAGTTTCGGGCCCTCGCTGATTCGTGGCCCCGTGTCTTTTTGGTCGTGTCCCTCCGCTCGTTGTCTGTGGTTCCTGGGTCCGTCCTTCGCATCGTTCGGCCCCTCGGGCCCTTCCGTCGCGCGTCGGCTACGTGCAGGAGTTATTATTCCGGCGATAACCCAAGGAAAACGCAACAAAAACGCTTCACGTATTTACTTACTCTTCTGGGGGCCCCCGATAGGCCCCCTCTGGGCCCCCTGACACAGTTCTTCCCACGCCCCGCTCACTCGGGAGGGACAACGAGTAGTAACGTCACGCTGCCGTTGGTCGCCCATCGGCGTGCTACTCGTTCGCATCTGTCCGAGGTCCTCGTGATTCCTTAACAGTAACACGCAAATCGTTTCCACGATGCGCAGCCTGGCGAGTATGCGCGAGATGACTTACTTCAAGCGTTCACAGCCGCTGCGCCCGTTAAGCAAAGCAAGGGAGGAGGAGGAGAAGAACACAGGAGGAGGAACGGGAGTTGGAAAAAGAGGGGAGAGAAAATCCAAAGAGCACATGCCTAGCATCCCAAACCACGGCGTGCGCGTCATTGATTTTAGTTTTGCCTCCCTCATGGAACGACGCCCGAATGGCCCCGTCGCCCGCTCGCGCGTCGCTGGCGCCGCGGCCAGCCGCCGCTACGCCCAGGGACTTCCGGCGCAGCTGCCAGGACTTCAGCCCCGTGGGCGCCGCGGGCGCAGGCGCCGCCACCTGCGCCAGCATCGTCTAACCGATTCGGGGCGCAAAAGACGGGGGTCCATGCGAACGGGGGTCAGCCAGAGCGCCAGGATTCAGCAGAGCCAGGGTTGCATTGATCTGGGCTTTCGCAAAGGTTTACTCAGGATCCCGCAGGATCTTGCCGGGCTCGCAGTGCCTGATTGACCTTGGTTTGCACTAGCTCGGGCCAGTGCGTCCCCGACCGATCCCCATCCCCGCCTGGACCATGGCATGTCAGCACCACCGGGTCACCCCCCCCAGATGCAGAAAGCGGAAACGAACAGCAGATACGCCCATGGCAAGTTGGCCAGTGTCGCTAAGGCCACGCCAGGTGGGGACGGGGATCGGCTCAAGGATGCTCACAGGGGGGGGGGGCCCGAGCAGAACGCTCGGCCGACCGATCGGTCGGCTGCGGTCCTAGCGGGGGCACGTTTAAGTCGGGCATGTCCCTCTACAGGAGGAACCTGTTCCAAAATAGTTTTAAAAAATTGGCTGGGGACGAGTTTTCTAACATTTTTTTTGTCATTTTGGTGTATGTTTTGACTACTGCTTATTTTTCGTCCAAAATCCGCCGGTAGGGGGACATGCCCGACAGAAGGGTACGTATCAGGGGAAGAGTTGGGGGGAGGGAGTGGCTCAAGAGGGGGGGGTTCTCGGAAGTTGTTCTGCAGTACTCGAGGTTTGGGTTGATTTGCATCAGTTGCGCCGCGTCGAGAGCGCTCCAGGGTTGCCAGAGTCGTCCCTGACGGCCTCCGGGGGCCCGGGCTTTGGCCCGAACGCCAGGGAGCGGGAGGTCAGGGGCAACGTTGGGGGGAGATAGGCTCACGGGGGCGAACATCGACTCCCAATCGCCCACTCATCGCCGACAGGGGCCCGTAGCCCACCCCGTCCAGGGATTTGTGGTTTCGCTATCGGGGGCATATTGCCCACCCATCGGCGATGTATCACCGATTCTAGCTCGATGCTTCCCCCCCTTGGCCAATCCCCTCCACCCACCCCCGGCGTTGTCCCTCAGGTCTGTCGGCTACGGTCAGTCGGGGGTACGTAGAGGGGACTGTCTCGAGGTAGGGTTAGGGAACGAACCCATCTGGATGCTCACATCTCTTCCAGGAAACGATGAGGTCGATGCTCCTCCCTAGCCCCACTTCTACCCTTACCCCACTTTTAGGAGCGAAAGAAGGACGTACATGTACATGAATCCACGCTGGTTTCGAGAGTACGCATTGCGCAAGTGTCCGTATAACGCGGCCGGTTTCGCGGATCGAGGGGCCGTGTTCATGTACATAGTTGGGCGCGTACGTCCTTTGTGGGCTCCCTACACTTCTACGTCCCTAAGTAAGAGCCACGTGGAGAGTCAGGAGGGGCTCTGGTTGTTCGGGCCGCTCCCTAGGTCCAGGTTAGGGAGCCTGTTCGCGGCCCCTGGTCGTCGTAGCCAGACAGGCCCCTTCGGTCTGCCTTCAGCGCTCGTTGTGGTAGCACGATGACTGCACACGTACAGGAGGCCCTTCGCCGAAACGACCTTTGATGCGGGCCCACAAGTGCCCCCCCCAGTATCGGCTTGCACGCTTGGTGTTTCACCCCTCTCCAACGGTCACTCTTACTTGGGCCCACTCGAACTGAGAGCTCGGCTGACCGAAAAAGGTCAGTATTCGGCGAGCGAATCGGTCAGTATCTGGAGGACAAAAACTCGCGACGGATGGTTTTTGGCAATTTTCGGCGTCCATGGGCCCTTACCAGGCCCTGGACAACTTGTCCCGGGAAAGGGGTCGAGACTTTTGATGGTCCGCGTGGTGAACAGATCACGGCGTCGGGGTTCTGGGAATGGAGGGAAGGGGGAGGGGGGCGAAGGGGGGGTTGTTGCATGCAGCTGGCTTCAGCTTCGCCGCCAGGTATTTCCTGGATGCACGACCGCCTCCGGCGCCAGGGAAACAAGCTACATGCAATCGTATCGATGATTTTCTTCTCGCCCGCCCCCAGCCAAGCATCTCAGAAGAAGAGCTGTGTAAGCATCATGTTTCGGAGGTCCACGGGATTTGTTGGATCGGCGCTGGACCCCCCTTCCTGGCACGCGGAGCGTCCCAGGGTGGTCCAGTTCCGACCCAAGAAATCCGTGGGGACCTCCAGAAGCTTATACGTTTATATGTGTTTCTTCCCATGAAAAAGGCAAGGGCGAGGTGGGTGCCTACTAGCAGGGCTCTGCCACAGGGAACGGGCCACCTGAAGGCCATGCCCCCCGCCTTGTGAGGCGAGGGGGGCATAGAAGGCCACCTACCTAGCCTGGCCCTCATTAAAGCCAGTTGAACGGTGTGACCGATCAACGGCTTGCTCTGGATTCTGCTTGCGTGCATTGATTGCACAAAGAGGGTCCTTCTGAGAAAGCACAAGACGGTTCACAGACCAAGCTTGTCTACAGCGGCGTCTCGCACCCCGCCGTGACAGGCCGAACCGTTTGCCTGATGCCTTACTCTTGTGCGCGCCTCAGGACCCGGAAGCGGGCGCATTCGCACAAACAGCGAGTTGTTCGGTACATGTCCCACGGATGGGCGACTGGGTGCGCACACGTATCTCTACAACTGCCGCCGTGTGAGCTGTGGCGGCCCTCCTGTGAAGGCGGGCCGTCGTTCTCCTTGACCGTTCTGCCATGCTCCTCTCTTCGTTCTTTTGTCGTCGGAGAAAAGCAAAGTATATAAACATACCCTTCACGAGGTGCGTGTGGCGTTCTTGAATATAGGCGCTGGACTCCCGCCCCTGACGCGCCCAGCCACATCCTGCCTCCTCCTCCCTGCTCTTTCTCGTGCCGCCCCCTCCCTCCTACACGCTTCGTGCTGTTTCGGGTTTGCGTGCACTGTCGTCGGTGGGCCTAGCTCGCGTCACCCCCTCTACAGTCGCGTTTCTCTGAGCGTCTGAGCCTCGGTGCTCGTTTCTTCCCACAAGGCTGAGTCACAGGCAATTGAACAATCGCTCTTGTGAAATGATTTTACTAGAAGTATATACCGCCTCTTCCCCCATCCCTCGCCCTCGTAAGTAACTCCCGCCTGTCGCACCACCAGACGTGACCGCACGCTTGCCTAAGCGTTTCGCTTGATATTTCCGTATTACGAACAAGATTACAGTTGAAGCCACTCGAAGGGTAACAAGCTGGATGACAGTACCTTTTTGAAATGTGGTTCTCGCCGTAGCGCCATGCGCATTCGTGTCAAACGCCCCCAACAGCTGCATGGATCGAGGGCGGGTCGTGTTCACAATGCGGTCACGCATCCGCACCTCTCGCAACAGTTACAAGGACGGAGGGCCCGTCGTTTCTAAAAGGCAGTTCTCGCCCCAGCGCCGTTCGCATTGGTTGGTAAGCTCCCAGCAGCTACAAGGATGTACGCCCGTGTGTGTTTTCATTGTGGCTCCCGCTTGAGTGTTAAAAGACTTGTTTCTAAAAGGGTACGTCCTCTATTTTTCACGCTTCGCGTATCCCCACCAGCCACTCCGCCTTGGTACCAGGGGCCATCGCTGGCGCTCTCCTTTGTGGTCGGCCATCTCCAGGTTTTGGCCCGAGCCCCCCTCGGCGGCGCACAGCCTGGCTGACGTTCCATGTAAGTGAGTGGTTTTGGCACCTTCCGCTTGGCAGTCTGGCCCCACCTGCGGGTCCGACCTGTCCGCCCTCCCCACCCTCGCTGGCACACGTTCAGCGGCTGGTTCTTCCCATTTGCATCCCTCGGTGGCACATGTTCAGTGTTGTTAATTTTCTGCTGCTGGCACATGCTCAGTTGCTTCTTCTTGGCCGGCACTTGTGCTGCGCCGTTAATTATTTGCCTTCCCGCGCGCTGTGTCCCAGCCTCGTTCACACCGCCCTCTGGACTTTTCTTTGCGGGCCGCGAATCAAGAAATATATCCCCACCAACATCTCGCTTCCAGCCGTGCCAGCAGACACTGGGTCTTCATCACGTCGCACAGGGCCCGCCTGCGCTAGACACCACAGCAGCGTTTTCCCCCAGACTTTCTGGTCGACATGACGTGGTGCATCGGTTGGTCACCAGCTGGGTTCGCTGTCGTGAGGACGCGTGGGAGTGGTTCCCTCCCGTCCCCATGGTCACCGCCGCAGCGGCCAGCGGGCCGCCCCCACCTGCGGGTCTGGCCCACATGGTACGTTTCAGGGCGCCACAGGGGCTGGGCTTCGGCAGGGTGAAGACTGGCGCACTTCACCCGCCTCTGGTACCACCCGATCGGGCCTGACATGGGCGTGTTCCTGCACAAGTGGTTCATCCTTTGGCAGGTCATCGCGGTTCCCCCGGCTGGTCCTTCGCACAGGCGCCTCGGTCAACGCTTGCAACTTTGCGCCCCCGATCCTCAGTGTCGGATAAGTTGCACGCAGTGGACACCGGCGGTTTCGACGTCAGGTTCACCGACTGGTACCGACCTCGCGTTCATGCTCCTGCACAAGTGGTTCATCCTTTGGCAGGTCACCGCGGTTCCCCCGGTTGGTCCCTCGTTCAGGTGCCTCGGCCAGCGCTTGCAACTTTACGCCCCCGATTTTCTGTGTCGGACAAGTTGCATGCTGTGGACACAGACGGCATTGACGACTGGTCCGCTGATTGGGTACCGGTCGCTCTCACGTCCATGAGCGACAGACTTGACGTCTACAGCAGTGAGTCACCGTGAGTGAGGCTTCTCTCTGTGCCTTCCCCCTTTCCTGCCGCCGGGTGCCCTGCTGGCGTCCGGTGTGTCTCTCCTGTTCCTTTTGCCCCACCTACATTGTGCATGGACGGTGCTGGCCACGCCTGGCCTCCCCGTGCCGTTACAGTGCGGCGTACTTCCCGCCTTCACGTGCTGTTCGGTTCGGCCCGAGCTGGTGCCACGTGTGCGACTGCTCCTTTCCGTCCGCTTCCGGTACCGCGCTTCGCACCCCATCCGCTGGGCCGCCTGCGTCGGTCCCCAATGAGGGTCACTTTGTCCCTGGCATGTGCACTCGCTACAACGGCCTATGCGCCTCTGCAGCCAATTATCTCGCGTTGTGGCCCAGACGTTATTCCCGCTCGCTGGATCTGTCCGTTGAGCCGCCGAACAAAAAAATATCCCCACCAGCCCATGTCGAAACGTTACCGATGAGAGTTGACGGGAAGCGGGTTGCAGAGATCTTGAAACGATGTCCAGGGGAGCTGTTGTCTCCAGGGAAAGATGGTAGCGTGCAGTGGAGCATTTGCCAAGAGAAACACGAGGAGAAGCAGGAGGAGGAGGAAGAGGACGACGACGAGGAGATGGAACCGGTGAACTAGCACGGTAACGGGGAAGAGGAGGATGACGATGAGGAGGAGGAGGTGGTAGAGGACGAGTAGGACGAGGAGGAGGAGGGCAATGAGGAAGAGGAGGAGCAGGACGTTGATAACGAGAACGAAAAGGAGAAGGAGGAGGAAAATGAGCAGGAGGATGATGAGGAGGAAGGCATGGGTGAGGATAAGGACATGGGCGGTCATTTTGGGTCCTCTTGGGGCGTCATCTTGGGGCTGTCTCGGGGCCATATTGGGACCCTTCTGGAGGGTATGTGGGTTATTGGGGGGGGTCTTGGGGCCGTCTTGGAAGCTCTGGATGACCTCTTGGGGTCATCGTGGAGGCCATCCATCAAAGGAGAGGGGTCGATTCCCCCCTCAGGAGTCTTCGACACCGCCTCTTGGGGCCAATTTGGAACCTCTTGGGCGTTCTCGGTGCCGTTCAAGGGGCTCTATTGGGCCATCTTGGCGCCATCTTGAGGTCTCAAAATGGCGCCATCTTGAGGCCTCAAAAATCAAATCGGAAACGACGGCAAGCAGGCGATAGTCACGAGATTCCTCATGTGTTTGAGCGGTTTTGGCTTCTTGGACAGGTCCTGATAGGGGGGCTCCGAGAGCACTTGGGGCCGTCTTGGAGCGGACTTTGGTGCCCCTTAGAGCATGTTTGAAGCGATATTGAGCCATCGCCGACTACCTTGAACCATCTGAAAGGCCATCTTGGAGTATCGGAGGCCTTGTCGGACACGAAGGATCCTCTGACACATTTCGGAGCCCTCAGGGGGGAGATGGGGGTACCTCTCACCGAAGGGACGAGGAGTTTGGGAAGAGTAAAGAACCTCACCGTTCGACCACCTACGCCCAGAGGATTCTCTGGCAAGACGTCAAACATTTTGCTAGAGCTACACGGATGGAGGACTGCGCCTTTTCAGTTTGGGGTTCTCGTTCGGCATTTCCACGCAAGGTGTATGACCAGAATTGTCTGGAACCGGCCAACAGTTGCACGGACGGGAGGCACATCCTTCCCCACATTGGGTTGAAAGGAACATCGCTTTTGCATGCTATCGCGGTCTTCGCGTTTCTTCCCGCCGGCGGCATGGAGAGTGGATCATTTACAAACGGGGTGTCGACGGAGTAGCAGGCCCAGCGGGCGTTCATCATTCAAGGGGGGCTCTTCCCGCAGTGGAGAGGAATACTTCCAGGGACCTGCGAGGAGGGGACCTGGGACGGGAGAGTGTATCGCAGCATTGCTGAAACAACGTGGGCTTCTTCGGGTCCTCCCCCCTCCTCCTCCCCCCATCCACCTCCCTCTCGCCCCCCTCCTCCAGCTCTTGCTCCTCCCTCTCCTCCTGCGCCTCCGCCTCCTCCCCTGCCCTCCTCCGCCCTCCTCCGGCGCTGCCCCCTCCTCTCCCCGCGCGCGCCCGCCGAGGGCCCGTCGCCCCGCGGGTGCCCCCCCCCCCCGCGCGCCGAGCCGATCTCCCCCCCCCCCCCCCTCGGGAGGCAGCCCCTGCGAGCTCTGCGGCGCCCCCGTGCGCCCGTGACCCTCGCCCGCCGCGCGGGGCCGGCCGCCGCGGAGCCGGGCGCGGGGAGGGCGCTGGGCGGCGCGGGGAGAGCGGCGCGGCAGGCCTCGGAAAAAAATAGCGAGCACTCCTGCCGCATTCCTCTGTCAACGCCTCCCCCAATCCTCCTCCTATTCCTCCTTCTGCTCCTCCTCCTCCTCCTCCTCCTCGCCGTTCTGGCACAGGTTTCATAGTCATTCGCGTCTTCAAACACGTCTTTCAACACGTCTTTCGATAGTCAGCACTCATGCCGCCGCCGCATTCCTCTCGGGCCGGACGAAAGGGGGGGGATTGGGAAAGGGGGGGGGTACGAAATTTGCTGCATGCAGCTGGTGTCGGCCTCACCGAGGGGCCCACTCCTCGATACATAGCCGCCTCCGGCGCCGGGAGGCGCCGGGAAAATCAGCTACGTGAGCTGATTCTCAAACCCCCCCTTTGCTATCCCCCCCTTTCGCCCGACCCGATCATCTGTCAACGCCTCCCCCTCCCGCCAATGTTCAAAGTTGGCGGTGGGTCTGATGAGTTGCACCTCGACCGCAGTCGCCCCCCGCGCGTGCCAACTCTGAGTTTGGGGGGCAGGGGGGGTGTTCACGCATTGTTTCCCTCGACCGGAGGTGCCCGTGCCCACCCCAGGAGTCGGGGAGAGGTGCGCGAGGAGGGATCGGGGAAGCGTAAGACTCGAGTACGCCGGGATTCGGGTTTGCCGGCGCCTTTTGACGAGCGCGTTCTGGATTTCGACGGTCCAGTTTTCGTGTGATGTTTGCAGCGGGAGGTTGCGTCAAATTCCAGACTGGGTCTCGTTATTTTCATGATGGCCCCGTCGGGCCAACCCGAGTTCCCCGTACCCGAGTCTTACGTCTCCCCGAAGGGAGGGAGCGCCATTCCTGTGGAAGACAGTCGATGGAGAGAAGGCATGCCGCCGAGTAGTTTCCAGATATTCCCCAAGTAGGCTTGCCTCAGGGGTTCGTACTTGGTTGAAGCTTGGTACCTCTTATCGTTCTTGTGCCCGTTGCTCGGAGGTTCCTCGGGTTCCCTGGATTCCTCGGGTTCCCCGCCCCCGGTGTCTCCTGTTGTTACGTTGCCCGTTTCCTCGAGGGTCCTCGGGTTCCGAGTTCCCCAGGTTCCTCGGTTTCCCCGCCCCCGAGCAATGCCAAGCGATGCGCCCAGCGATGCGCCCATGCAATCGGCTTTTCCCTAGTTTGGGTCGCGCCGGTTTCCTTTCTCAAAAGTTTGAAACATGTTTTGACTTGTAAACTGTACAACCATGTTTGAAATTTTGGAAGCGCATTTTTCATTCAATGCCAGGACTGTGAGAGAATCCATTGTCATCGAATCCACAATGTTACTGGGAGGGAGGAGGGGCGGCAGCCGGCAGGGAAGCGGGTCGGACGGGGCTAGGACGAGGACAAGTCCGTTCCAGAGCGTTCTGGAACGCTCTGAGACGGCCGCGGCGCCCGATACATCCTCCACAGCCGCCGGGTCTCAGAGATTCTCGATTTTTCCTCACCCAGATTTGTCCTCGTCCTGGTTTTGTTTGAGGGGGAGGGGGGTGGGGCGGGAGGATGGACGGACGGATGGATTGACGTTCTCCGGGACATGTGGCATGTTCAGGTTGCGGGCACAGCCTTTACAAGGAAGGAGGGGGAGGGATGGAGAGAGGGGCGGGGCATGGAGGGAGGGAGGGAGGGTGGGAGGAGGATGAGGAGGAGGAGGAGGAGAAGGAGGAAGGAGGGTTTGGGAGGCGCGCCTGCCCAACAGCAGCCGCTGTGGGTCTGGGACAGCAGTTGCTGTTTGTCATCGTCTAAATGCGTGTCACACCTCGGATTGGGGTGTACCAGCTGTCCACATCAGGCACGATCTTCTGCCTGCAGGGAGCTTGCTGCCGCTTCCCCCAGCCGCCATGCTGGGTCGAGGGGCGGGAAGTCAGCGATGCACAGTGCTTCGTTCCATGTTTGCTGGTTGCCCATGTTTCCTCCAGGAGGCCCGACGGCGGGATCTCGTCTCCGTGGTTGCGTACCGCATGTGCAAATTACCCCTGGCCGGCTCCCTCGTCTAGCTGGACGATCTCCCATCGCGTAGGCAACGCGTCGAGCAGCGAATCCTGGTGACGCTACTCCCCGGTGCCAGGGGATGGGTTACCCCTCCCTTGCCTGTTGCAGCAGTTGACGAAATTGGGCTTTGCGTCGGATGGACCGGGTCTTGTTGCAGTAACGCTTGGTGCGAAATACCGAGTCTGTCGCTGGAAGAATACGGGGCAACGCGGCCTGCACATCGAGCCCCGGCAGCGGCGCCTCTCCCAGGCGGCGGCTTGCACGACGCATCTCGACCGGTTGGCTGCCTGGAGCAATTGGATCGCCATCTGATTCTTTTCCATCGTGACGGACGCAGCAGCAGTTGGAACACGCAGCAGCGATTGCTCGTCTCAGCGTAGATCGGTTCATGCAGGGTTCTGCAGAGCTCCAGTCCCCAGGAACCGACGGCAACGGCGCTGCTGTGATGGACTCCAGGCCCGTGACCTTCAGGGTCTTCACCGCCATTTGCGGACGCGGTTGGATAGCTGGCAGTTGCAAGTTCTATGTGGGCGCCGAGTGCAGCAAAAGGAGGCCGCCCTCATGTGCATCGGGAAGCTCGTGCCCCCCTGCGTGCGGGCAGCCTCGCTCACAGCCTTGTTGGATGCCTCGTGGATGGTCCTCGGCCCCACCCGCCGAGGGGCGTCGGGCGGGGCCCAGGAGTGGGATACATCGATCCAGAGCGTTGCGGAACGCTCTGGAGGAGCCGCACACGGTCTACTTCGATCCGACCGATCCGATTCGATGTCGAGCTCAGTTGGTTCGACCCGATTCGACTTCAATGCTCGGGCGATCGGGTGCGGCCCGACGGTTGCAAGATGCAGTTGGGAATTCATCGTGGCGCATCCGATTCAATGCCGATTCTGTGTCGATGCAGCCCGATCCGACGCACCATCCGATCCAATCCGATGTTTCGATTCTATGTGGGTTGATCCTGCCAGATCTCAGACATTTCCGACCTGTCCCAGGCCGATGATGTCCCCGTTCTGGCCGCGTCTCGGGGGCCCCAAAACAGTGTGGTGAACACGCCGCGCGGTGAGTAATTGGGATTCGGGGTCACCGCGCGGTTTTGGGATTCGGGTCGCGCTCCGAGGACGTCTCGGGCGATTGGTGCTTCCAGGGTCCAAAAACCATGCGGTGACGGACCGCCACCGCGCGGTTTGGTCTTCGCACCGTTTGGGGCTCCCGATGCGTGTTGCCGCCCCCCCCGCGCCGGGGGGCGGGGAGGGTCAGTCACTGGCCCAAGGGTCCTCGGCCCCGGCGGCCGGGGATGCACTCTTGGGGGTTTCCCCGCAAGCGGGACGGCGCACATGAGGGGAGCGGGGGGCACCCAGGAGGAGGGAGGAGGAAGTTGGGTACAGTCAGCCCACATAGTAATGATGGGCAACCTTCCCAAGGGTACCGTTGCACCCTTGCCTCCTCAATCCATCCGTGGCGACTTAAAAAATTGGCCGCGCCCCGCTCGAGAAACTTCAAAACGGCCTTCCAAGGTCCTTGCATCCTCATCGTGCATCCTTATTATACGGGTCGACTGTGGGCAGCGGCTGGAGCGAAAGACGATGAGGAGGAGGAGGACCAGTGTAGACCCAGGACGATATTGCAATGAATCCTCCTTTCAAGTTCCCTCTCCATAGGCCAACTGCACGGAATCTTTTTCACTGAGGGAAGTGCCCAGGTGGAAGACAACAAACTGTTCGACAATCGGGAACTTGCCAGAACACCATGATTCAGACATCAGTGCGGCGAATCACCGTTTTTGTTGCGCCTTGACGATGTTCTGTTCATCACGTTCATCACTCGCGGTTGGATGTTCTAGAACACCAGTCCTAGAACATCCAACCGCGAGTCAACGTGACCGCTGCGCCCTGACATTCCGACATCGTGCCGAAATACCATTTCTGGGTCGTTAACCATGAGAATATCTAAGACTGCTGCAAATTCCTAAAACGAACGTGCGCGGGGCTACGGCGAGAGCCCAATCAAAAAAAGGAACCGCCCTCCATCCGCGAAGCTCTTGCAAACTTTCAAGGCGAATGTGCGCGGCGCTAAGGCGGGAGCCAATGAAAACAGGCCGTTATCCATCCATGCAGCTCTTGCGAAATTCTGAGGCCTCCATCCATGCAGCTCTTGCGAAATGCTAAGACGAGTGTGCGCGGCGCTAAGGCGAGAACCGCATTTTGAAAACGGATCGCCCTCCATCCGAAAAGCTCTTGCTTTTGTTCGAGACGAGAGTGCGCGGCGCCGAGGCGACAGCCACATTACGAACACGGGCCGCCGTCCATCCGTGAAACTCTTGTAAGTTCAAGTTTCATGATGATTAGAAGTGTGGAAATCTCGGGCGAAACGCCTAGCCCGCCCTCTCGACAGGCCGGGGGGCACGACAAGGTGGAGTTGACCATAAGGAACGGGATGGAGGAGTTCAGGACCCGAACGTATTCCCCACCCCCCTTCCCTCGTATCCGAGTATGGTACGGTTCCTCCCTCTTCCCTCTGCAAAATGCCCTCGGCGGCGTCAAGACGTACCGCCGCCGCTCTACTGGCACCCGCCGGGTGCGCGCGAACGTTTGGGTGGAGCTGGGATCGTTGCGTAGCGCCGCGGCAGCAGTGGAGGAGGAGGAGATGCGGAGGAGGAGGAGGAGGAGGAGGAGGAGGAGCGGAGAACAAAGGTCGATCGGGCTTGGCAGTTCAGCAGTCTGCGCGCCGTCTTGCTGAAGGCTCTCACCCCGAGGGCCCCGGACCGCCACCCTCGTCAGCGCAGGGAGGCCCAGCCGCGAGGTTCAGACGACCCAAAGCGCACCAATTCGAGGGCCGCGCAAGGCGCAAGAGAAACGACAGTGCGGAAAACATTGAAAATATGCAGTCGTCCTTGGGACACGGCCCGTCTCACTATTTGGAGAGTCGGCACCCACGGCAGACCACCGCTGCGTTTGGGAACAGTGAGTTTGCTGCCAGGCATACACAGGGTCCACGTGGCATCAGCAGGGCAGATGTCAGCTGGCTCAC